TTTTTAGCCTTACGCTGTTTTTAATGGATTTCCCCCCAATTTTGATAACTTTACGGTGATGTGCTTTTTATGATGCGATTGTCTTTGTTTTCATTTTTTGTGAGCCACCTCCAGCAGGTCTCTGGGCGGGTGGGCTTTCTAAATAAACTCCTGTTTCAAGAGACGGCTCTGTTGCCACCTGCTGTCGTATGTACCTCGTTCTTCCCATGAGAGAGACGAAGGTTGGAGTCTCAAGTCAATGTCCAGTCCCTAAAAGCATCTTTCGAACTGCATGTCATTTCCCCTTTGATGTCCCTCTATGTGAAAATGTGCTTGAATCATCGGGAGCATTCTCAGGACTCTTGGCTGCTCTCCAGGGCAGCATCCGGTCAGGACTTTTGCTCCTGAACTGCCTAACGGGGCTGCTTACCTGTGGGCAGGATCCTGCTCTGGCTGCTGAAGGTTTTCTTTGGACTTCCTCTTCCGGTTTCCATTTGCCCACTTCTGGAGGAGGCCGCCAGCCAATTGTGACCGTTGCCCACCGATGTTCAGCTGATGAGTGGGTGGAAAGGGGGACCCAATTTGGGGGGGGGGGGGTATATCATCATGGGCAGAAAAATAAGGGCTTGGTGACTTACTGGAAGTTCTGCCCAAAGAGTTACTAGCAAAATGTAGAGCCACCAAGAAGTGATAAGGGTAACTCTAGCAATTGCCAAAAGTCTGTGGTAATCCCATATGGTAACATAAAAAAGGTAAAGGTTCCCTTGCTCGGAAGCCAGTCGAGTCCGACTCTAGGGTTGCGGTGCTCATCTCCGTTTCCAAGCCGAAGAGCCAGCGCTGTCCGAAGACGTTTCCGGGGTCATGGGGCCGGCATGACTAAACACCAAGGCGCACGGAGCGCTGTTCCCTTCCCACCGAAGTGGTGCCTATTTATCTACTTGCAATTTCTTGCTTTCGAACTGCTAGGTTGCCAGGAGCTGGAACTAGAGACGGGAGCTCACTCCATCATGCGGCACACTCGGGTCTTGAACTGAACTACTGACCTTCCACAGCCTGCAGTTCAGCGTCTTAACCCCTTGAGCCACCGCAGCTCCTATGGTAACATTACCCAGGGGTCATTTCGTGGAAAGAGAGGTACAGGAGCTCATTAGCACAACTTAGTTGCATATGCCACACACCCTGACATCACCGGAAGTGTGTCAGAAAGCAACATCCACCACTCAAGCTCCACCCCAAAAATCTCCAGATATTTCCCAACTCAAGATTCAAACCTGGGTCTCTGAAATCCTTGTCTGGAACACTGACTACTACACGGTGTGGTGGCAGAGAGTCCTCCGGGCAGCCCAGAGAGTCAGGGGGCTGGGCTGTGCTTGTTACTCCCGGAACGCCATTCCTGCTCGAAATGACCCTTGAATTACCATAAGAATATCTGGCAACTGCTAGCGCTACCTTTGCACTTCTGGGAATCACCAGGAATTCTGTGGTCAGAACTTCCATAAGTATTCAAGGCCTTATTTTTCTTTTTCAGTTTTCTCCTGGGATTCTTGCCTCCCCCAACACAGCCCTCCCACTGGTTGCCAGGCAGTGGTTGGCGACGCTACCTTTTCTCATTGCCACAATGTTTGGCACACTTTGTTTTTTGAGAAAGTGCTAGTGGTGACGTTTGAATTGATTTGAGACTGTGCAAGGCGGCATTGTGGCGTTCAAGCAGCAGCAGTCCCCCCAGTGGAACTTCTCCTGCGTCCGCTGCAGACCTGAAAGTTCCCGTTCTCCCCCCCCAAAAAAAGAAAAGAAACCTTCAAAGGGCATGTACAACCTTACCCCTTGTCCTGGCTTAAACAGATACTCCGGTTTCCCTGCTATAATTTCTAACAACTCACTCCACTTTTTAGAAACTTTCAATTGGCTCTTCTCAACACAGCGAGTGATGTTGCAACCCTTTAGTGATGTTAGCTAACCTTATCAATAGTCTGGCTGCAGTTAAAGAGGGTGATTTTTTTGTCCCTCCTCCCCGTGGCAGACGGGCTTCTTAGAGGCATTTGAGAGCTTCCTTCCCCCCGCTTGTGCATTCTCTTGCCCCCTCCCCCTCACTAAAACCAGCGCAAGGGGAAAAGGTGCTCTCTGACAGAGGTCTGTCCCTGGTTGTGGTCTCCCAGTGGCAAACAAAAATCGCTGTTTACAGTAAATGGAATAAAACCACTGAATGGTTTTGAAATGAGACTGCCACATCAGTACATTCCGCTTGTTTTGCAAAGGCCGACGAATAGCAACGAAGACGCGGCGAAGGAAGCAAAATCACCGAACTGGGCGAGACGTCCTCTCTGATCAGTGGCGAAGGAAGACCTGAGGAAAAACGGAGCTCTCCCCTCACGGTGTGTGTGTTGATTTCGGTGGGAAGCACCATGTGGCACACCGGCGGTGGGGTGGGTGGGTACAGCACCTTTTCAGTCTTGCTGAGCTAGACAGTTTTTCCCTCCACAGCCAGCCTTCTCACGCACAGTCCCAATGTGGGACTGCACAGAAGAGAAACCCTCTTCTCCCCTTCCTCGATGTCTATGGCTCCGCCTCCTGCAGCAGCCATCTTTTGGCTGAACCCACCACCCGGTGCCCGAAGTCCAAAGATGTTCCCAAGCTCCAAAAGGGGCCCTCGGTCTGAAGGAAGGAAAGGCTGTGTTGAGGCCGCTGCTCCCAGGGGGAGTTTTCCAGCCCAGCCTGCAGCCCTGGTTCCCCCAGCACAGGAGAAACGGCCTCCTTGCTCCCGAGGCACTGCTACAGGGGCCAGCCCAACGGTGGCGTAAAAGAAGCCCTTCTCCTGCAAGAGAGGCGGGCTCCCTGTGGCAAGTGGAACACCTCAGGCTCAGCCGGAAGGTGGCGTGGGGGAAGCAGGGACCTTGCCCAGAGAACAGACGTACACCCAAGTCGAGCATCATGGTACGGCGGGCGGGGAATTGCGGACACGGGGTGAGCCACTGCACATGCTTTCACGTCGGACTCAGCTGACGTGCAAATGAACCATGATTTCAAGAGCAAACTGCCCTCAAAACCAGTTATAACAACCACCACCTCCCGTTCAGATTAAGAAGAGTTGGATTTCTACCCCGCCCTTCACTCGGGCGTCTCAGAGCGGCTGACAAACTCCTTTCCCTTCCCCTCCCCACAACAGACACCCTGTGAGGTAGGTGGGGCTGAGAGAGCTTTTTCAAGAACTGTTCTCTGAGGGAACTTGTGACTGACCCACGGTCACACCAGCAGCTGCACGTGGGGGGGGGAGTGGGGAATCAAACCCCGTTCTCCCAGATTAGTATCCACCACTCTGAACCACTACACCAAACTGGCTCCCTGCAGCAACATCTCGGATGCCGACCTTCAGTTGATGCCATTTTCACAGTTTTCGTGGAAGGCAACCGTGCCCTGAGCGAGAACTTCTTCTGTTCAGCCCAAGCTTTCGTTACATCCTAGAAAACCAGCAGGGGGGGGGGGGGAAACAAAAAAGAAAAACGACCCCAGTAGCACAAGATGGCAGAGACCTTCCACCAGCAGAATTTCCCTTTATTTAGTTTATTAATAGTATACAGAATAGAGGCACTTGTGTCAAACAGTTGGGGGGGGGGTGGCTTTTCCCATCCAAAGATGAGACAGAGAGAGAGAGAGAGAGAAGGCTCTTCTACCCCCTTTCTCCCCCACCCCTCCCCCAACGGTAAGAACAGGAAGCAAATCATAGCAAAAAAAAACCAAAACGATCTAGGGCGCAAGTCTGGCCAACCAAGCCACTGCCGGCTTTCTGGAGAAGTGAGGAGTGGAGGAGTGGCGGGAGAGGAGGGAGGGCCCCGAGGCGCTCTGGGCCCCTGCAGGGCCTTTACGGGAAAGGCCACGCTGGCTAGGAGGAGGGCAGGCAGTGCAGAGTTCAGAGCAGAAAAGGCACAGTGAGTCTCGATCTGTGGAAGGCCTTGGCCCGCCGAGGGCATCAAGCAAGCGGCTACGACTCCCGGTCGAGTGGGGACAGAAGAGGCCACCGAAAGGGAACGCTTAAGGCAGGTGGTGTGTGTGTGTGTGTGTCACTCTTCCTGATGTCTCTCCTGAGGTATCCCTGACAGGGGGACTGGGGACTTAACTGATTTATCTTTTTTTTAAAAAAAAACCACAGCCTAGAATTTATACAAGTATTAATACAAGCTTGTCCTTTATGAAGAAATATATACAACCATCGCCCGGAGAGGGCAGAGCGCTTGGCTGGTCCTCTCGAGGATTACCGTGCGGCGTTGCAAACACGCCGGGCTCCGGCAGGGAAGTGTCCGCTCGCGCTCTCCTGCTAGGCCAAAGCCACCTGTGGGTTAGTTTCTAGGACCAAGTGCTGTCAGCCGTGGGAGATCCACTGCCCCCTCGAAGGAGGGGCGCGGCCACTCCGCTGCGGAAAGACGACCCGTGGTTCTTTCTTGTGGGGTGAAGTCCCCCTTCCGGTTCAGTGGGGAAAGGCTTCCTAAAGTCCACACGGGGGGTCACCACCCTCGTTCACCACAGGGCAGGCGACAAGTCGTCACGGTCCGGGAAACGGGTAGCTGGTATTCGCGCCCAAAAGGACACCCGAGGCATCCCTGAAGCTGGCTATTGGGACCCTGCTGTGCTGCCAGAGAGCACGGAGTGCCAAGCGACTGGTGTGTCGAGAACTCGGTCCAGAGTTTCTGATGGGGGGGGAGGGGAGAGGGTGGCACAGCCTGAAGGTCATCATATGATGCCCAAAGCTCAAAAACCAACCTGCCTTTCCTCTTGGCTTGGGGCAGTCTTGCGGCAGCTCTTAGCAAACTGGATTTAGTAGCGAGTTACTTATCTGCAGTCCTTCCTCATCATCATTTCATTTCTTTTCCTTCACAGCTATAAAAATGGAAACCGATCTAACTTTGAAATGAAATTTAAGGGGGGGGGGAGGAGAAAGGGAGGCTGATCGAAGGCAGAGATTTTATATACAGGAGAACAAAGAAATCCGAGGGGGGGGGGGTGTCCAATCAACACGAACGGCAGAGATTTCAATGTGCTCAACTCACAAGGGGAGGCTGGAAAACTCACCTCTTTACTCTCACGCATTCACAGGCAATCACCCAATTATTATTTTTTTGGGGGGGGGAGTTCCTTTCTTTCTCTCTCTTTTTTTTAACAAAGTGCATAATGACTCCACAAAGCGGAATCCTCCCTGTTCTCATGAGGAACTGGTCTGGTGCGGCTACCCAGAGGATGGTGACGAAGAAACTTCCGCCGTTGCCGCCACCTGCCCCCCTTCCCTAGAGAAGGTTCCGGTTATCCAGCCCCTCCCTAGACGAGACCCAGAGGTCTGAGGGACAGAGAGGGAAACCGCAGCAAGGAATGCTCGGCCTCACAGGGCTCTTGACAGACCACAGACCAGCAGCACCCACCCGTCCCGGGGTTGCCAATGCCGTGGTTGTGACTGCTGGGGAGGGGGGGGGGAGAAGAGAGGGAACTTGGGCCTCGGCTACACAGTCCTTCGCAGCTGCAGAGAGCTCTTCCACACAAGAGATGAGGCGTGAGTTCTTTCCACAAGGTAGTTAACAGGCAACAGCTCTCCGGGATGTTGGTGGTTAATCTAATAAAGAGGGCTCGGCTGGTCGGATAATAGTCGGCCGGTTCGGGGCAGCGGGGGGCCTTCGGCTGCGGAGAGAACAAAACAGAAGGAGGAAGTGAACACTGGGAAAGGGGAACCAGGCAGGCAAAACGTCAGGATCCATGAACACACTCCTCCCCCCCCATGTCCTCTCTTTCGTTCTTAATTGATAATCCCCTGCTTCCTCAGGAGATGGCTCTGCCACTGATTCCCACCTTGTAAAAAAATCACCCCGTGGCTTTCGGTACCCCTCTACACAGCACGGCCTCTCCAACCTTGAACCTTCTCCTGCCCTCCCATCCCACGGCTTCCATGGCCAGCCCTGATATGTCTCAAGGCCCTCCCTATAGGCATATGAGAAAGTGTCCCTGGCTGAACGGCTCTTGCCCTTCTTCCCTATCCTTTCCCT